GTGAGATGTCTTGTGGTCGGACGCCAATTTCCTCGACCCCGTTACCGTTTTCCTGTACCAACCACAGCGTGTAACACGTAGTAAACAGCATCAGGGACAGGCCATGGGATGGGGGCAGAACGCATTGAACTGTTAACTTCATCATTTTATTATATGCACACACACGCACACACACACGCACACACACACACACACACGCACACACACACGCACACACACACACACGCGCACACACACACACACACACACACACACACACACACACACACACACACACACACACACACACACACACACACGCACACACACACACACACACGCACACACACACACACACACACACACACACACACACACACACACACACACACACACACACACACACACGCACACACACACACACACACACACACACACACACACACACACACACACACACACACACACACACACACACATAAGCACACGCACGCAAACGCACGCACGCACACACACCCACACCGACATACACATTTATATATACATACATATATAAACACAAATATATATATATTGACATATACTTTCATATTTATATAGACATAAATAAATACATATATATACTCACATATATTCATAATATTGTTATATGTGCGCACATACATGATATATGTATAAATTTGTATTTATACATGAATCTAAATAAAAATGTGATATATGAATATACATTCATACATACATACATGCATACCGTATGCGTAGGAGGGAAAGACAACGATAGATAGACAGTCACACGCACACACAAGAGTGTATGTATTCGCAAATTAATAAAAGTACATATCTAATATACTGCACTTTATTAGTATGGTTTACAATAGGTACATTTTGAAGCGCACGTAACATACTGAGCTTCCGTTAAACTTTAGGAAATATCTGTGCGCCCACGTGGGTGACAGATGTTGGGACGATGCGTAACACTTTGCAGGTGAAACCGTATGTGCATTTTTCGCCATCGTCGCCACCTACAGGCCCAGAATAAGTACCATTCGCGTACACATTAAGAATATCCAAAAGTTTTCGAATAAAACTCGTGTTTTGTCTAGGGATTGTCTTAAGTGCTTCATCTAACAAACGTGTCAGGGATACGAAATAAAAAACTATCCACTTAACCTTGAGTTGTATGGTGAAGGAGAGTTGCTAGTTACTTAAATTATTATCGATTTTTTTTGAATGGCCAAGAAATCGGAACATCTGAAAGCCCACAGTTACTATTGATCTATATCAGGGGTAAAAAAAAACTAGAATTCACAGATATGCATTTTTGCCGGTAAAGTTTAAATCCGCCGCCATATATTTAACTAGCATTTACTATGAAAGAGGAAAGTCCGAATTGTGAAGGAGTATTTAAGACGCGCTTCGAAATCCTCCCTGAGTCCCGTTACAGTGGTTCCTGTCGATCGTTTTGGGGATTATGACGTCACGATCTGCCCAAAATGCGATAAGTCCAAAATATCTGGCGACAGGACTTGAATACACGTACATGGGGTGTACATAAGCGTCTGTGCGTATGTCTGCGCTTGCGTTCGTGCGGGGGAGTGGAAAAATCCGCGGGAGAAGGTATACGCGATTTAATTGTATTGTATCTGTTGTGCGTACTAACACACTATGTGAAAGTGCTGAAATAATAATGATAATTAGTAAGAATAATGAGAATGAGGATGAGAATTATTATAATAATAACGGTAATAGTAATGATTATTGACAGTATTTTGGGAGAGGATAGCGTTCATAGTAAAAAAAAATATATTAAAACTGATTTTGTTCCACATTGTTATCCATATATGAATATATATACATACATACATAAATACATACCATATGCGTAGGAGGGAAAGACACAACGATAGATAGACATTCACACACACACACACAAGAGTGTATCTATTCGCAAACTGATAAAAGTACATGTCTAGTATATTGTAATTTAATGATATGAATCACAATAAGTAAATTTTGAAGCGCACGTAGCATACTGAGCATCCGTAAAACTTTAGGAACTATTTGTGCGCCCACGTATGTATTCGCAAATTGAAACGAACGTGCAATTTTCGCCACCGTCGCCACCTACAGGCCTAAAATAAATACCAATCGCGTATACATTAAGAATATCCAAAAGTTTTCGAATAAAACTCGTGTTCATTAAACTTGTCTAGGGATTGTCTTAAGTGCTTCATCTAACAAACGTGTCAGGGATACGAAATAAAAAACTATCCACTTAACCTTGAGTTGTATGGTGAAGGAGAGTTGCTAGTTACTTAAATTATTATCGACTTTTTTGAATGGCCAAGAAATCGGAACATCTGAAAGCCCACAGTTACTATTGATCTATATCAGGGGAAAAAAAACTAGAATTCACAGATATGCATTTTTGCCGATAAAGTTTAAATCCGCCGCCATATATTTAACTAGCATTTACTATGAAAGAGGAAAGTCCGAATTGTGAAGGAGTATTTAAGACGCGCCTCGAAATCCTCCCCGAGTCCCGTTACAGTGGTTCCTGTCGATCGTTTTGGGGATTATGACGTCACGATCTGCCCAAAATGCGATAAGTCCAAAATATCTGGCGACAGGACTTGAATACACGTACATGGGGTGTACATAAGCGTCTGTGCGTATGTCTGCGCTTGCGTTCGTGCGGGGGAGTGGAAAAATCCGCGGGAGAAGGTATACGCGATTTAATTGTATTGTATCTGTTGTGCGTACTAACACACTATGTGAAAGTGCTGAAATAATAATGATAATTAGTAAGAATAATGAGAATGAGGATGAGAATTATTATAATAATAACGGTAATAGTAATGATTATTGACAGTATTTTGGGAGAGGATAGCGTTCATAGTAAAAAAAAATATATTAAAACTGATTTTGTTCCACATTGTTATCCATATATGAATATATATACATACATACATAAATACATACCATATGCGTAGGAGGGAAAGACACAACGATAGATAGACATTCACACACACACACACAAGAGTGTATCTATTCGCAAACTGATAAAAGTACATGTCTAGTATATTGTAATTTAATATTCGCAAATTGAAACGAACGTGCAATTTTCGCCACCGTCGCCACCTACAGGCCTAAAATAAATACCAATCGCGTATACATTAAGAATCTCCAAGAGGATACTAACACACTATGTGGAATAATGATGAGGATTATTATAATAATTATGGTAATAGGAGAGGAGAGGATAGCGTTCATAGTAAGAATATAGTAAAATAATTTTGATCCATATTGTCACCATGACTATCTTTATACTATTTTTATCATCATTATCACTGTTACATTCATCATAAATGTTATCATCAGTATAATAATCTATCATCATTGTCAGGAAAACTGTTGTCATCGTTATCGTTATTTTTGTTAGCAGTGCATTTACTATTATAATTAACTTTATCATGATCATCATCACCATCTATCATCACCACCACTACCATCCTCATCATCATAAGACATAACCATCACCATCATCACCACCATCGTCATCACCATTACCACCGTCGCCATCACCATCACCACCATCGTCATCCTCATCATCACCACCACCATCATCCTCATCATTAAAGATAATCATTATCATCATCATCACACCACCATCCTCATCATCACCATCACCACCACCACCACCACCACCATCCTCATCCTCATCATCAAAATAATCATCACCACCATCATCATCACCATCATCATCATCACCATCACTATCATCACCATCACCATCATTAATCATCACCACCACCATAATCCTCACCATTAAGCAAGAATGACCATCACCACCACCACCATCATCATCATTACCATCACCATCACCACCATCATCATCATCGTCATTATCATCATCACCATTACTACCATCACCACCATCCTCATCCTCACCACCACCATCATCATCATCATCATCATCATCATCATCATCATCATCATCATCATCATCATCATCATCATCATCATTAAAGTTACCATCATTACCGCGTTTATTACCGTTACATCAGACGATAATATGACAAGAAAAACATAACTGACTTGCGAAATATGCTTAATCATAAATGTTATCACAGCAAAGCATGTATTAATTCTGTTATTGCACTCTAATCACTTTTATTTTGCATTCCATAGAAGAAATAAAATTGCATTGCAGTATTATCTAAAATTATCGGATAAAACTATCTGTGTTCTTTTTTAATGTTTTACTGTTTTATTTAAGGTGTCTCTCTTAGTCTCATGCTTTCATGGGCATTGATATCACTAGAGTATCAAGTCATAGGATAGCACTGATATCTATTATCTTCAAATGTTTTCAAGACAGACGGATTATGGTAAGAATAAGAGAGAGTTAAATTTGTTTCGCTTTGGATTATCAGGATGACAAAAAATATTTTTTTCCTAGATTATGCTGGTCTTTAACTTGCTTATATTTTTTCCGATTTCTTAAACGGCATTATTTGGGTGAAATAGGACGCGATTCCACACAAAAAATGGAGAATAAATCGTTAACACAACCTTCTAATGAAATAATTAAGATGAAATAGGGCATGGTTCTACAAAATTGAAGAACATATGGGTTAACAGAACGATTCCGAACTATTATTGGAAGGTCATAAATAGCCAATTAAGATCTCAAACCCGTAAAATGTCAGAACACATCCCATTCGGACATCAAAATAGGCCTAACCATTCCCAAATAGGTAAATAGGTAAAGAGGATGAATATATCCGGAGTTGTAATTATACCAATGATACCTTTAAATGTCAGGATATATCAGTATGTGGGGGGGTCAAGGCAGGGGAGTCAGTGTAACTTCTACCTGGCCCAAAGTATACTGTGTTATTCATCTTATTCATAAACTGAATGCTGGTGGTAAACATTTCGATGCCAAGACGCGCTGCACAAATGGAACTAAGAAGGAAAATATCGTATTGCCTGCCACGCACATCCGCTTTGTTGAA